ATACCAAGGCACCGACTCCGATATTCTTTGCACGAGCGATTTTATGCTGGTACTCAATGATCCTATCACGCGACCTAGTCAGAAGCGCTTTTGCCTGCTGAAATGCTTGTTGTTGCCGAGAAACCAAATAATTAGCATAGTTGTCCGCATAGAGGGGACGCGGTTTCATCTCCAAGAGTTCGTATGGCAACCGCTTGTCTTGCCCTGTGAGAAGAAAATGCGGGCTATCGCCCAGAGAAGAGTGAAAGGTAGAATTGATGGCCGACTGGACAGTGGGGAGAAGAGCATCCCAGTCGTCCTTGCTGTCGTCCACCAATTGACGCAGAATTGTAAGGATAGACCTATTAAGACGTTCCGTAACACCATTAGCCTGCGGGCGGAACGGCAAAACGTTTACCTGCGTCACATTCAACTGCTGCGCGAAATGGCTAACACCTGATTGACAAACTCGGTACCATTATCCGAGCTTAAATATTGTGGACAGCCGTGGCGGCAACAAATGACGTCATTAAATGCTTTCGTGACGTGCACAGCAGCCTTTGATGGTACCGCCACCAACTCGCAGTAGCGAGAAAAATTGTCCACAAACACAAGGATGTGTTTGTTGCCAGAGCGTGATGTGGCGAAACCTGACAATGTGTCACATGACACTTTCTGCCACGGAAAATCCGGAATGTCAAATTTTAGTGCAGGCGCGGGATCACTTGTGTAACCTTTATACAAGGGACACGTCTTGCAAGACCTGACGTGTTTTGCTACCCTCTCATATAATCGAGGAAAATAAAATCGGTTACGTATCAAATGCATAGCCTTATTAATACCACAATGCGCTGCTTCACGGGATTCATGGGCATACGTCAACACACGCGGCACTAAACTTTCCGGTACCACCAGGACTTGCCGGACGATCTTCCTACGACCCTTAATTCGTTTTGGTCGAGATCTCCGCATTAGGAGTCCTGTATCATCAAGAAAAAATTCCTTAACTGGTAACCCTTTATACTTGGGGACTACCGTACGTTTGCTTAAAGCTTTAATGATCTGGCCGTACCTCTTATCGGCGCGTTGGGCAGCATATACCTCGTCTTTATGCAGCGGTTCTAGAGGAGGAACCTGTGAAGCACTATTCACAACAGCTGACGAAGGCAAGCTAAATGAAGGGGGGAAATCTGCAGCGTCGTCCCGCCTCAAAGGGTGCGAAGTTTCGATTGGCGCGCGTGACAGCGTGTCGGCGGCGACATTTGCGCGGCCCTGAAATATACACGAATGTCACATCGAAATCGCCCAGGATATCCTGATAACGTGCCCTACGACCATACGGATCATTACCATTGAGCGATGTGAGCGGCATGTGGTCCGTGTGGACCATGACCTTGTACCCTAGTATTATATCTCGGAAATACTTAAGAGCCCATACAATCGCTAACATTTCCCTATCGGTGACCGAGTAATTCTTCTCTGCACTAGTGAGAACCCTACTAGCAAACCCGACGGGACGCAAGTTCCCTTTGTGCTCCTGCATTAAGACTGCACCGAGCCCAACATTCGACGCGTCAGTATGAAGAATGAAGGGGAGGTCAAACTTCGGAAATGCAAGCACGGGAGCAAGCGATAAACAATTTTTCAGCTTTGTAAATGCATTGACCTGCTCCTCGTCCCAGCGCCAGGGGACATCTTTCTTGAGGAGGTACGTCAGTGGTGCAGCGATCCTCCCATAATCCTTGATGAAAGGCCTATAAAACCCAGCTAACCCCAGGAATGACTTTACCTGTGTTACATCAGAGGGAATGGGGAACATACTGACAGCTTTGACCTTGGCCTCGTTAGGGGCAATACCTGCAGCTAAATCGAGTGACCAAGGAAATCCAAGCGCGACTGGAAGAACTTGCATTTCGCCGGGTTAATTGTCAAACCCGCTTCCGAGAGTCGCTGAAAAACACTGCGCAAGCGCGCTTCGTGGTCCCTGATCGAAGGTGAACAAACCAAAATATCGTCTAAGTAGACTAGCACCTGATCATTAATTAAACCCTGCAGGACGAGTGCCATAAGACGACTAAACGTCAAAGGGGAGTTCCTGAGACCCATGGGTGATACAAGGAACTCAAAGTGACCCACATGCGTTGAAAATGCAGTGTACGGTCGGCTGTCCTCTGCCAGGGGGACCTGAAGGAAACCTTTCGCCAGATCAATTGAGGAGAAAATCTTACTGTCTCCACCAATGTCTTGCAAGAGTTGACGAAGGTTAGGAATAGGAAAAGGTGACGGAACAGTCACCTTGTTCAGACGCCGAAAATCACACACAGGACGAAAACCATGCTGACGCTTCGGTACTAGCAACATCGGCGCTGACCACGGGCTGATCGAAGGCTGGATTAGCCCTTGCTGCAGCATACCACGTACTTCATCCTCTAGAATCTGACGCCTACTGTGCGGGATTTTGTATGCCGGAATGTACACAGGTTTAGCTCCAGGCTCTAGAGTGATAGAGTGTTCAACCATATGAGTTCTGCCTAATGGACGGTCCTTGGTCGGTAAAATGTCGGGAATTGATTTAGTAATTTACTGAGGATCTCCTTACCCTCGCTAAACGCGAATGGTCCCTGCATAGCCTTTGCTAATGCTGCAGCGAACGGGTCAGCTGAATCGGCGGAATGAGAAGAAACAGCGCCAGAGAAAACTGACGCTGGAAGCTCAAATTCAGCAATCGGAAGATCCGTAATCTCACAATCAATTAACCTAACACCACTATCTATAGACAAAGGGGCGGGTGTTAAGTTCATCACATGGACTTGTGTACTTCCATCCCGCAAGGTATACAGAGAGGGAAGAACACATGTCCCTTTTACACGACAATTTTCGGGAGGTCAAGAATGTACCATTATTACTTGCCGAGGAGGTCACATTAATCAGAACATCATGAAAGGTGGTATCTCTACAGACTCCCGCGCGACTAAGTGCGCCAAACCATCGTTGTCAACCCACGTGTTATGTTTTGATGAACGAGGTGATGTGGTGGCGATGTTCGTGCGTGAATTGTCTGTAGCATGCTGAGCAGAAGGAATGTCAGGATAGACAGAGTGAGGTCTAGACTGAAGAGTAGAGGTCACAGTAAGTGAGGGAGGTGGAGGAGGTTGTGGAGGAGAGACAGGGGGAGGCGATAGTCGCGGAGGAGGGACAGGAGAGGGAGGAGGAGGGGTCAGAGGAGAAGGAGGGGAGGAGAGTGATGTGTCCGTGAGCGTTGTCATGTTGGATGGATGACTGAATCTGCGAGACGTGTTGACATTTGTGATGGATGCGGAATCAAGCATGCTAGGATGAAAAGGGTCCGGATGCTTCCAGATGGAACTCGGTTCACTCAGCTTATAAACCTGGCCGTTAATTTCCACCTCATTCTGCTGCGGTCGCAAAACCATACCAGAACGATATAGAAAATCATGGCCAAGAAGCAAGTGGCCGGGGAAACTATGGTAACCCTTGACTACGACGAACTGATGAGGGAATTTGATGTTTCCAAACCTCAGTGTTACATACGTAGTCCCAACTACACCTAGCCTAGAGCCTGTCACGCCTCTAATACAAACATCAGCTGGCAATACCTCAGACGAGAGCTGAAACTCCACTAATACCCGTTCACTCACGAGACTGACGCAACTTCCTGTATCAATGAAAAAGTGTGCGATCTTCCCATTAAGTTCAGCAGGTAAGAGAGGGGGCCCTGATCTTGCATTCGGTACACCAGCAATAGCAACACGAGACCGAGAAGATGACGCAACTACACCGGAGACCAATAACTTTCCTCGCCTGGCTCGAAACTGTCCGTTTCTTCCTCTAAAAAATTAACCACTCGCTTGTTGTGTGCCCCTTTGTTAAATTTCGCGATGAATTTAAGAGAGATCGCAACCTGATCTGGGAACCACGTGCACTCGTTAAAGGCATGTCCGTGCCTGTTACAGTACGGACATAGCGGCTTTGCAGAGCACACAGACGGACGATGCATCCTCAAGCATCGACGACACTGCCCAGATTTCGGTGCCCATTTGCAATATGCGGTTTACGGGCAACAGATGGGGGAGACGGAGCTACATAATATTGCGGCCCAGAGTGAGGCTCTTGGCTCGCACGCGAGGGTGGGGGAGGGGGGTTTCCACGCGGCGAGCGGCGGGCGCGGGCGAAGCACGTCTATATCCTGCTTTCGCTCGCGCTGGTGGCTCACGCCGTGGGTCACGCCGCCCCGCGCTGTTATTCCTATGGTAATTTCCTTTACCCTTCCCTGTATTCACTACATTGGCGACTAACTGCGCATTTCCACCTTTATCTGTCATTTCGCTAGCAAGAACTTCAGGGAGTTTCGCGAATGACGCACTATCCACTTTATCACAAACTCGTTTGCGCACAGCCGGAGAAACAGCTGACAAGAGCCACGCTTTCGCAAAATGCTCGAGCACGGCGGCATGCGATGCGCTCTGCGTTACGCATTGTGTCAGACAGCCTGACGCATCTGAGCTCGGAATGGACTGTGCCCATTGCATTAACTTAACCCTAAACTTGTTTAAGTAGGATGAAAGATCATCCTTGGAAAAGGAAGTAGGCTTCACCTCTAATAATTCTACTAACCGTAAATTAAATTATCGGTTTGCCTCGAGAATGTAGACATGAAAATACTTTTCAAATTTGCATAGGTTTTCTGATCCTCAGGCAGATGATTGAACGAGTCAAGCGCCTCAGCCA